TCGGCCGTGCTCTACTCTTTGTTACGAGGGCGGCGAAGAGGCCGTCTCTTAAACAGCGTTCAGACTTCCCATCCGAGTAGTCGACGCTTGCCCGAGCATGTGAGCCGTAACAGAGCGCGCTGTTGTGTAAGTGGGCTTGGTTCGAACTGCCTCCTTTGAAGCGTGTTGTTTTCTGGCCCCTCAGAGAGAGGAAGGCTGGAGGAGAGTGGTGTGGGAGAAGAATCTGAAAATGATTGAACTCCATAATCTGGATCACACACTAGGAAAACACAGCTACAAGTTGGGAATGAATCAGTTTGGTGACATGGTACGTAAAGAAGCATGAAACATACAGTTCTAAACAGCAGTGTTTAATAGATGGTGACTGCATGTCTTGAATGTTCTTCAGACGACCGAGGAGTTCAGGCAGCTGATGAATGGCTATGCACACAAGAAGTCACAAAGAAAATACAGAGGATCCCAGTTTCTTGAGCCCAGCTTCCTGGAAGCACCACGATCCGTAGACTGGAGAGAGAAGGGATATGTAACTCCAGTTAAAGACCAGGTATTCTCTGATGGTGGATTTTTAATGAGTTATAGGTCCAGTTTCCTGAGTGCTACCTCGACTTCCGTAGAAGAAAAGCTCTGTGGACTTGTTTAATGAAGCCTGGTGCAAGCTTGCTCAATTGAGTGCTGGTTTGATAAAATTGCTGTACACTTTTAGGATTTTTTTAGGACTTCTGTACTAAATGTCTAAGAACTTAAAAGGCTGTAGTATCTTCACTTGAACATGCTGAGAATGTGAAATTGGAGTTGGTCTTGTGGCTTTTGCATTTTTAAATGTTTCGATCAGTTGCAAGGGAATTCTAGTTGCCTAATCTGTCCAGATTTGTAACTGGTGATTTCATTTCTTTCAGGGTCAGTGTGGCTCTTGCTGGGCTTTCAGCACAACGGGAGCTCTTGAAGGGCAGCACTTCAGAAAAACTGGCAAACTTGTTTCACTGAGTGAACAGAATCTGGTAGACTGCTCTCGGCCTGAAGGAAATCAAGGCTGCAATGGTGGTCTCATGGACCAGGCTTTCCAGTATGTGCAGGATAATGGGGGAATCGATTCAGAGGAATCCTACCCATACATTGCAAAGGTAAGGGTAATAGCTGAACTTCTGTTGCAGGTGTCACATCTTTTGTGGGGACAAACTATGCGTTGGGAAACTCTTACCTAGAAAGGAAAATGCCTAAGTAGTAATCAGTACGTCTGTTCTTCCTGTTGCATCTTTCCTGAGAAAACTAGAATGGCCGCTAGCCCCAGTAGGAATTGCATACTGCACGGGACTTTGAGGTCAAAATCTTACCAGACCAGTTGGAAAAACTAGAGCAAGTGTTTTCATTCCTCCCTCTCATTGCTTCCCTCCTATTGGATGTCATGCCTTATCTTCATTGACACACCAAACCAGGACCCAGCCCTTGTCAACAGTGCTACGTAGTTGTTGGGGTGCAATTCACCTTCACGTAACTGAGCTGTTACGGGGTTGCTACCCATAGACCGGTTGAGTGTGACTTGTTTTTTAGCAATAGTTGTTGGCAATACCATAAGTTCTTCTGGACTAAACGTGCATAAATGCAGATAATGGGCAGACTTCTAAAATACTTCTAACAATCTACCAAAAGTTAAAATGGACATGAGAGGACAAAACAGCAGCAGTAAATTGTGGTATCACTTGAGAGCATGTGGTTTGGACTTTTCACCACTTGGAGTTCTGCTTGCTCTAGAGTACCTTTCCTTGCAGCTTATTTTGTGTTGACTGAATGTGCAATAGTAGTGTCGTTTGTTCTGAGCAACACAGAGCCTTTGGATTTGGGTTTCTGTTCACCTGCATCCCGGTAACCTCATTTTTTCCTCATCTTGGCTCTTCCAGATATCCCAGTTGGTTATAGGAAGTGGTTAACTTGCTGAGTGCAAACAGTAAGCAACTGGGTGTACTCTGTGTCCCTCTAGTTGTGAGAAGGCAACTGAAATTCTAATCTTGCCACACAAGTAAGGGAGGGATGTGCTTACTTCCATCCGTTACAATTTCACATGGCCCGACCTCCAAACTAGGCCCCTGTCCTGAGGCAAATGCCTAAGGCACCAACACTTCAGGCTTCATTGTAAAAAGATACTGTGAAGATGCATGGAGTACATGAATGCTGTGCGTAAGGTCATATAATACAAATGAATAACTTCCAAATAATTCTGTATAGTTTTTCAAACTATGACAAGATAACAATTGTGGATTTTAAGTGCTTGCTCATGAGCAGTTTCTGGGTTGCTTTGTAATTAATGAATACTTGGCACTCCACCATTGCCCATTTAATGTCTTCTGGGCTTCTTTCCTCCCTGAAAAGAAATTTGTTCTGCCCAACAAAGGCAGGGTTCCTGGATGTGATGGTCCTTTGCATCCCAGTAAAGCTTTCCTTTTGGGCTCCACTGTCCTTTGCCATTTCTGCGTGTTTGAGAAACTCAAAAGCAGCTTCTGTATTCTTCCTCTCTTCCTTTCAAAGCACTGCTGAAGAAATTGCATCTTCTTCAGCCTCTTGTTTTCCAGGCAGTGAAGCCACAGAATGTTTGGTAGTTCCTGTGCTCACCTGTGTGTTAAGTGGAGAACTATGTAATAACTAGGGCTTTCTTTATTTAGGATGATGAAGACTGTCGCTACAAGGCAGAGTACAATGCTGCTAATGACACTGGCTTTGTTGACATCCCTCAAGGACATGAAAGAGCTCTCATGAAAGCGGTAGCAGCTGTGGGTCCAGTGTCTGTTGCTATTGATGCAGGCCACTCTTCCTTCCAGTTCTACCAGTCAGGTGGGGATTTGTTAGCAACTTATGTGCAGGGAACTCTTTTTTGAATACTCAGTATTTGTTACCCTTAGTTTAGTAGGTGAAAAAAACAACTATGATCTTGTAACATACGACATAATTGGGAGTGCTCTCTAGTCCAGGTTCTCCACACTTTGTACTTCTCTTGCATATGTGTATACTGTCCCTCAGTTTCTACTGTGATATGTTTCACTTATGACTCCTTTCTCTGACTCTCAAGAAGCTGTGCAACGTTTAATGTGGAATACACAAAGCTTCTGGTGAGGGAGAAGGGTTTCCTGCAGATGAGCTTGTTCACATGTGAACTTACACCGCCGCAGGTATCTACTATGAACCAGACTGCAGCAGTGAAGACCTGGACCATGGTGTTCTGGTTGTAGGTTACGGCTTTGAGGGGGAAGATGTAGATGGGAAGAAATACTGGATTGTTAAGAACAGGTAAGATCTCTCTGTGCCTTGTGCCCTTTGGGGGTAGGGGAGAAGGGAAGGTAGCTTGTCATTTGTTGTCGAGGTCGGGGAGACAACAGTAATTAAAATCTGTGTGTGGAAAATGTAGAGACTGTTCACAGATGGTATTGAATGACAAAAGTTAAATCCAACTCATGCTGCTGACAGTCTAATAAAGTAGGCCTGAAGCAGCAAACTCATTCTTAAGCCTTTTCAGTTAATTCAAGGAAGCTCAGTACTGGAACAGCCCGTGAAGCTAGTAGATGTTAAAGTGGTGGACCAGAGGGGAGCAAGCAGAAAATAGGTTGTGGGGATGTAATGGATTTTTTTGGAAGCAGAGTGCTGCTAGCTTGTGTGAAATAGGGTAACACTTGAGTTTTAAAGGAGTTACCTCCTAGGTTGCAGGGAAAACAACAAATTAATGCCAAAGGGCATGTCACATGAGCTTGTCTCATGTTCTCTGTGGTACTGGGGCACCACCCTCTAATGCTGCTTGCAGTCTTAGTCGTCCTCCCTTAAAGTTGGCTGGGATCAGTGTCTGAGCTTCAGGCATCTGTAATCCAGGATTGCATATCGAGGCCTCCACCTAGGGAGAGGATGGCTGCACTCTTTATTTCTGTGAGCTTGAGGTGCCTCTTCTGTCACGTGTATTTAATTGCTGGAAAGCACTTCAGTTTGGCTGCAGCTATCTTGATTTTTCTCCATGAATGTGGAAGGCAGCAGTTTTAAGTTTAAACACTAAAGGAGGGTAGATAAGTCTCTTCTCAATATGAAAACAAATCATTTACTTCTGTTTTCAGCTGGGGTGAGAAGTGGGGTGACAAAGGATATATCTACATGGCCAAGGACAGGAAGAACCACTGTGGAATAGCAACAGCTGCTAGCTATCCACTTGTATAATTTGAAGACTGAACATTTCAGTGCAAGAGGGGATTTTAACTCAATGACCAAACCCATGTTCACACATGTGGTAGACTTGTATCCTTCAAAAATCAACTTGATTTTTTCTAAGCTTTTGAAGTATGTTTTACATGTTGGTGACATGCCACTTGTTTTAAATTAATGTAAATGTTGGTATGTAAACAGCTTGTAATATTGCTGGCTTTGGACTTCTTAATCTAATAGACTCTCCTTTGTATTTTTTCCTTTTTTTAAAATTGCAATGTGCTCAAAGGTTTACTTTTTAAATAAACACTTAAATTCCAGTGTGTACAGATGACTTGGCTTTTTGATCTGTGTTTTTTTTCTGGCTGGGATTCTTACCAAATAGGCATACTAAATCTTATTACTAACTGAAGGCTGTACGCATGCCTCTTCTCATCAGTTACTAAAATGCAGCCCTATCAGGCTAACAGCTGTTCTAAACTGGAGCGTAGTATGTGTGACACAAGTTACTTAAAATAAGAAGTAGAAAAATGTCTTTATCAACTAAAGTAGAAGTGACTGAAAGTCTGACCCTCATTCTTTGAAACTCCTTGCTGCCCAGAAGGTGTCTGTAAGCGAATTTTGGCTCGGTCCTGTGACTTAAAGGTGATGCCGTCTCTGGTTCTTTGTACTTCCTTACAAGGATGTTCAGTCTTTTCATGTCCTGCATGTGCATCTGATCTCCACTTAGCTTTAATACCATCAGTGTTTTCTTACGGCACCTCAAAGTATCACACTTCTGTAATTAGAGCAGTTGTCTCCTTTTGAGCCATATAGGATATAGCAGGAACACCTAAAGCAACTGCACTGTTCAAAGAGGTAGTTTGTTTCTTGAGATAGGTAGTACATTTAATACTATCATTCACTTACACCAGCTTTTGGCTGGGGAAAGAAAAGGAATGTTGTTCCTGTGGAAAAGTGAAGTTGGGCCACTCTGTTACTCTCTGGATACCTGATGGCTGACTGCTGCACTGTGGTGGATTATACTGTACCTCCTCTCCTGAGGGGACTTTTCTCCTCTGCAGGTATCTGTGCTGCTGAAACATAATAACTGGCTGTTATATACTGTTGTTTAGATGTGTTTTGGGAACCAGTAGTTTCTGCACAGGAGGATGAATTGGTGATATCAAAAACAGCTGGTGGGAAGACTTGTCTTGTTTTTTCAGTGCTGACTCAACTTCCTCTTGCATTTGGGCTGGAAGGGAAGAAACTCGTTCTGCAGCTTAACTTGCACCTGTTCAGTTATGGACCTATAGGTTTTTATGCACAGTGTCTTTCCTGAGTCTGATAGCCATGCACACAAGGGAGCGCTTGGAACTATAAGTTCTGGAATCTGAATTTCCTTGTAGTCTTAAGATTGCATTTCATGAAGACTTTCTGAAAGAAAAACAGATGAGGCATCAAGAGCAATCAGTTGTGAGTCTGTCCATGTGCTGTGTATAGATGAATTCTTTCAACCTGAATCTCCCTGCAGACTTTTTTTAAAAGGAAGAGCCTCCCTCATCCCAGTGGCTGTTTAACGAGCCACAGAGCAGAAATACCGGTTAGAATTTGGCTATTAAGCTGACTTGCTAAGCCTGTTATGGAGAGCATCCACACTGCTAGGCAGAAGCTACGGAAGAAATGAGTATGAAGCTTGACTGGCAGTCCTCTTAAGGCTTATGTTCAGAAGGAAATGGCTATGGTCTGTACGTTCAAAATGGGAGGAAAGATGAAAATGCTGCGAGGGAAGTGACAGTGTAAGCTCCTTACGTGGTTGCTGCTGTTCACTTTTGCTGCCCCAGAGCTGGGGGTGGACAGAGACCTGTCTCTCTGAGTGCTTTTGAATCCCAGAAACTGATGTTACTGTGAGCTTAGTAAAAAGTGTTACTGGTTTTCTACGTTGGTAAAAACAAGACAATGAGAATATCCAGTGCAGGGTGAGACTGTTACAAAGCCTACTAGGACATGAACTGCTGCAAAAAATGGGCAGCAGGGAAAGGTAGTTACAAAGGCCAAGGTTAATAAAAGTTCCTGGGAAAACAATGTGTTTTTTACAAACAGGTAGGAAATGAAAAGGAAATAGCATTTCAAAATACATGCACAAGTGCGGCTTGCAAAAGAGGTATCAGCCTCTGACTTTTTTAGAAATAAAACGTGATAATACAGCTGTTTGTATGCATTAAAACTTGCTGACTCTTCTGGCTGAACGTCCTCTTTTCTGAGGGGAATAATCAAGAAGGGTACAGGGCAAGCCAGGTCATGCAGATAACTCAGTATTTACAGAGTCTTTTTAAGCAACAGTTTCACCCACTGTTGCCTTAACATGACACTGTAAACGTTCAAATTTTGTATGAGTTGCAGTTAGGCACACTGATTGAAATTTAAAACCTGCTATGTTTCAAGAATTGTTTTGTGATTTCACTGCAGTGGCCCTATCTTCTGTAGAGCTGTTTCTTCTTTCATTTACTTTAGAAGTGCTATTACAAAGTGGCAAATGATTCCATAATGGTATATGTCCTGTTGGGGAAAGCATCATCTCTCTTCAGAGCTATTCCTTTCTGAAGACACAGCAAATGCACATTATGCATGCACACACAGAAAGCTCCTGAGTTGTTCCCAGAAAAGCTATGGGTAATTAAAGCTCTTCATGACTGTGTTCCAGTATTTTTTTTTTCCAGGCTTTCTTTTGCTGATAGCTGAAGTTACATTTATTACAAGATGTTTGATTTTTAAAGATACTAGTGCAAACGTATTAACAGTAAAACATTCTATCTAGACTGCCCTGTTTAGGCCCTGTCTAAATTACAGCTACTGTTGTTAATGGGGTCTTACGTGTATCTAAATACGTGATTTGGGCACTACGTTACGTGCATCCTAGGTGGCAGTTCTGTACAGTGATGAAGCTCTGCAATCGTTGCGCAAACGAGCTGTTTTATTTAAATTTGAGGAAAAGAAAAGGTTTTGTGTTTAGTTTCTGTGTGCTGGTGCTTCTTAGACTGTGCTTGTCCTAAAGGTCTCACCAGGCTAAGAGTTTCTCCAATCTGCCTGGTGAATGACTGTATTTATCAGTAGTTGGTCATGAGTTTCTAAAGACAAGTACTCTTGAGGCAAGGAAAACCATGAAAAGAAATGATTCCACTTACACAGGAAGTGCTGCTTCTTTAAACTCCAGTGAGAAATGAATTCAACTGTAATGTAGGAAACTATTTCTTTTCCCTTTAAAAACAGTCATCCTATCTGTGACTGCTAAGTAGAATGGAATTTTGGTTTTCACAGAATCACAGAATGTTAGGGATTGGAAGGGACCTCAAAGGATCATCTAGACCAATCCCCCTGCCGGAGCAGGACCACCTAGATCAGATCTCACAAGAACGCGTCCAGGCGAGTTTTGAACATCTCCAGAGAAGGAGACTCCACAACCTCTCTGGGCAGCCTCTTCCAGTGTTCTGTTCCCCTTACTGGGAAGAAGTTCTTCCTCATGTTTAAGTGGAACCTCCTATGTTCCAGCTTATATCCATTTCCCCTTGTCCTGTCATTGGATGCCAGTGAGAAGAGCCTGGCTCCATCCTCACGACAGTCACCCTTTACATATTTATAAACATGAATGAGGTCCCCCCTCAGTCTCCTCTTCTCCAAGCTAAAGAGAGCCAGCTCCCTCAGCCTTTCCTCATAAGGGAGAGCTCCACTCCCTTAATCATCTTTGTGGCCCTGCGCTGGACTCTCTCAAGCAGTTCCTTGTCCTTTTTGAACTGAGGGGCCCAGAACTGGACACAATATCCCAGATGCGGCCTCACCAAGGCAGAGTAGAGAGGGAGGAGAACCTCTCTCGACCTACTAACCACACCCCTTCTCATACACCCCAGGATGCCGTTGGCCTTGGCCACAAGGGCACATTGCTGGCTCATGGTCATCCTGCTGTCCACCGGGACCCCAGGTCCCTTTCCCCTGTGCTGTTCCCCAACAGTTCAGTCCCCGACTTGTACTGGTGTGTTTTGTTCATGTGCATTGTTTTTCATCTTTGGTAAAGTTAAATCAATTTCCAGACATGAACAGTGGAATAAATAAGTTTATTATCCCCTTACACAATCCGTGCAGGAAGGTAATTTTCTAAATATTTTGAAAGACTAAGGTGCCAAGATGTTTGTCATCTCTGTCTGTTGAAACCTTACAGGGAAGCAAACGTGATGAGTTTTATCAGTGAAGTTTTACTATAGTGAATGATTTAACTGGTGATGAGCAAACATTATTCTGAGATAACTGGAGATATAGGAAAATCGGAATATACACTTAAAAAAAAAGATGACAAAACCTCTAGGTTCTGAACACCAGTTACGCAGTATTTGCTCTTTAATTAACCTCCTTGATGAAATAAATCCTGCCACGTATCTCATAAGCTTGATACCAATTAATCAGTTTTTACATATTAGAGATTAACTGCAATTTCTGGCTATTAACCTGGAAATTGAGCATACCTGGATGGCTGTTATAACGTAAACTGATGCTTCTGCTTTCTAGCTCTCTTTGCACTTTATTAAGGTATAAAACAGATTGAGAGCCCATTTGCGGTTGCAGTCTGTCCCACTACCCTTCTCTCTTTTTGCTGGGCAGTCATAGCTGGAAATGCTAAGATTTAACTAATATACTGTTTTGAAGAAATAATTATTTAAGATAAAATCACTAACGGGGATGTTTTCTCTCACTCTGTAATCAGGGCTTTATCAAATCATAAGTGAAACTTCAGGTACGTGCAGGGGGACCTAAAGTGTTTGGAAGAAAGGATGTAATCAGCCACAAAATTTCATTCACAAAGATATAATTCACAAACCCGAACCTAAATGACATTCAGTGAGGCTCATCTGAAAACAGACAAGGATCCCAACCTGAAACTTCACTTTAGGGAGGAGGAAGGTTGGCCACATGGTGGAGACCTGAGTTAGGGATTGATTAGTTTAGATATATTGGAGACCTCAGAAGAAGCCACCTTCACTTGCATTTACGGGGAACATGACTGCTTCATTTCTTTTTTTCATACTAAGTTGCACTTTTTGAACATCTTTTTTTATGTTCTTTTTTTCATACTAAGATTTATTTTCCGGTGGTCTTAAAATTTGATCTCTGTGACAGTTTTTGTTTCCGTCATGCTAGTGTCTGTTGAGGAGCTATCGACGACCTTTGTGAACAAAGCGGCAAAGAAACCATGAAGACAGGCATTTATAAAATACATAATACTGGGTTCTTTGTAAAATGCTTCTTCCTCATTTTGTTCATTTACAGTTCTCACCACCTCCAGGAGATGCAAAACATACCTCT